GATCTTGTGGGGTTGCTTCGCATCAGCATTTTTGACGAAGTTCTGACTGACCCGTGTCACTGTAGCATTAATGCTGCAGCCGTGTCTACAGGAAAGGACACAGGGCCTCTGTGGAGAGGAGAGAGCCCACGTGACACCGTACTCGTTTCTCACGCCAGCTCTTTTGAGGTCCTTGGGCGCGTGGTTTCTCCAGCGGAGCTGAGGCAGTCTCGTGTGCTGGCCCCGGTTCTCTTTCTGGAAGAGTCCCCTCGTTTGCACTTTGCATATCTGGAGATATCAGAATAACTAGCCCATGAAATAAAGCCGTGAATTCATGACTTTCAGAAGCTGCCAGGAAATTTGCTTATTCAGACATGGTCCGTCACAGTTCGGGAAGCCAGGGGCATCAGGTGCCTTCCTTCCTCCTGCCGTCGGTTGCTGGCTCTGTGCCTTCCAGGTGACAGGGTGGAAAGTAGCAGGGAAGGCCGGCCTGCTGCCCAGAGCCGTGCTGAGACTGGAGTTTAACTTCCGCCTCCGGTCGTGCAGGGAGAGCCCTGCCGACTTTCCATGCTGATCTCTGTGTCTGCACAGTTAAATAAATAAATCTTTTATGAGTATGTAAGTTAGAAGTTTAACTTAAAAAGTAAATCAAGGTTATTCTGCTGTTTAGATTTAGAAAAGGGATTCCAGAGAAGACGTGGGTCCCTCTGGTCATGGTAGCCTGTGCTTATTCTGCATGTGCTCATTGTGTGTGTGTGTGTGTGTGTGTGTGTGTGTGTGTGTGTGTGTGGGAGAGGGAGAGGGAATTAGCACTTCCTCTGGGCCAGCACTTGCCGCGGGCCCTAGGGAGATGTTGGAGAGCAGGGAGCGGCATGGGTGTAAACGGGCAGAAGCGAAGGCATACGACATGATAGCGTTAGATCATGACGGGTGTGCTGACATGGAAAACAGCGTCCGTGGTGCAGAAGCGGGGGCTTCAGCGTGTCAGGGGGCTGAGCTCAGACGGGGGAACCCACCTGCCAGGGGCTGAGCTCAGACGGGGGAGCCCCACCTGCCAGGGGGCTGAGCGCAGACGGGGGAGCCCCACCTGCCAGGGGCTGAGCTCAGACAGGGGAACCCACCTGCCAGGGGGCTGAGCGCAGACGGGGGAGCCCCACCTGCCAGGGGGCTGAGCTCAGTCGGGGGAGCCCCACCTGCCAGGGGGCTGAGCGCAGACGGGGGAGCCGCACCTGCCAGAGCCCCACCTGCCAGGGGGCTGAGCGCAGACGGGGGAGCCCCACCTGCCAGGGGGCTGAGCTCAGACGGGGGAGCCCCACCTGCCAGACCCTCGGGAGCTGGCACTGAGGACAGATCCCCTCTCGCTCCAGCACCTGTAGGAGGGTCGACAAGTACAGCAAACAAGGAGCAGCTTCCGTCACTAAGATCGCGTTAAGCATCGAGCTCAGGTCCGTGGGACTGTGCCGCGTGGGCAAGGGCGTGTGGGAGGAAGCTCGGAGGCGTGGCTGGAGTTTGTTTGCTTGGACTTCAGGTG